CCGTCTAGCTCCAGAACCCCGGTGCGTGAGAAGTCCACACAGCTGGAGAGGGAGCAGGCCCGCGCAGGGCCCTCGGCCCTTTGATTGGATGAGGGACTTAAAGCAAGGCCAAGGGACCCAGGAGTGAATGTGGAGGGGCTCTGGCCACAGGGCAGGGGCCCAAGCCCACCCGTTGACCACAGCGGCACTCAGGGGCCGCCCCGCCAGGACAAGCTCGCCAGCGCCCAGGATACTCGATCCGAGGGGCAAGCCCCAGCTCCCTCCAGCCCCGGCCTCTGGCACGGGCGGGCAGGACCCCCAGGGCCCACCCAAGACAGGAAGCAGTTCCGGGGCCCAGGAGGGTCACAGTCCTTTGTGGCTAGCCTGGGTACCCCGGCACCACAGACAACTTTCTGTCCGTGGGAAGTGAAGTCTCCTTCCGGGGCCCTCCCCCAGACTTGCAGGCCGGCCGGGGCGAGCGTTTCTCCCAACCCCCCGGCACCTCCGCCGGCGGCCTCGCTGGCCCCGCGCCCGGGGAGCCCCACGGCCGGCAGGGGCGCCCCGAGCCCCAGCCCCAGGCCCGGCAGCGCCCCTCCTCCCGGGCCCCGGCCTCGCCCGCCCGGCGGAGCGGCCTCCCCAAGGTCATGCGGGAGGCGGGGGCCGGCAACCGGCACCCCCGGCGCCCGGCGTGGAGCCGCCCTCCCGCGGCCGGGCCCGCGCGCCCTCCCCGCCCAGGCCGCTCGGCCACTTCCTGCTCCCGCTCCTCCATTCTGGCGGCGCCGCGGCCCGAGCGGCCGCGAACAAAGCAGCCCGGCCCGCGGGGAGGAAATCCGGGCCCCGGCGGCCGCGGCGGGAGGGCACTCACCGGGCCGCCGCGTCCGGGCGCGAGCGCGGGCCTAGCCGGGCCGCGGCCTCCGGCGCCCGCCGCTCCGCATCCCCGCGGGCCGGGCTGGGCGGGGCCGGGCTGGAGGCCGCGGCGGGCGGGTGTTGCTCGAGGCCGGGCCTCGCGTGCCGCCGCCGCCCGGTGCCCGGTGCCCGGCGCTCGGTGCTCGGCCGCCTGCTCGCGTCCTCCGGGCCGCGCTGGCTGCGCTGGGCCGGCCGCCCGCCGCGCTCGGTCCCGCCGCCGCCGGCCCGCCCTCTCCCCGCCCCACGCCCGGAGCCGCCCGCCCACATCCGCCTCCGCCGCCCGGGGGGCCCCCACCGCGCGGCCCGCGGCTAAGGCGGAGTGCGCCCGGGGAGCGCGCGGCGGGGCGGCGGGGCGGAGGAGCGGCCCTTGCGGCCTGGGGCCCGGGGCTGGGCTGGGCCGCTAACGGAGCCCGGCCACCAGTCCCGTCCGGGGCCACGCCCTCTCTGGCCTCAGTTTCCCTAGCTGTAAGTGACCCGGCGCTTCTGGGCTCACTCTACCGTGACCCCACTAGAACGGGCCCGAGACCGGCCAGGGAGGAATCCCGGACTTCCGCCTCCACGGCCCGGGGTGGATTAGGTTGACTTCAAGGCTGTGCCCCATGTGTGCGCTGCCCCACTCTTGGGGGCGTGGAGGGGAGGCCAAGAGTGTTCTAAAGGCCCAGTCCCAGGACCTTGTGCCTCTGGGGAAATGCGGGAGGGCGCCAGGACAGCAGGTCAGCTGGAGTGGGCTTCCAAGGAGCAGGAAGGCTCGGAGGGGACTCAAGCGTTCACCTAGGCACCAGCAGCTACACTCGCAAAAGGGGGGCTTGGCTGGGGTCTGGAAGAAGAGGGGCACACCTTGCCTGGGTCCCATCTTGAGCTGGGAGCAGACACCAGCCAGAGGAGGGGTGGTGTCTAGGATGGGCTGTGACAGCTGAGAGCCAGGACCCTCCCTGCTGGATGGACTTGGTGGGCCCCGATACCCAGTCGGAAGTCCACTGGGAGGCAGATGGCCCCCGTATGGAGTGAGTGAGTGAGACACAGGCCCCTTTCTCCTGCACACTCACAGGACACTGCGGGTGACTCCCACGCCGACCCCTTCCTAGCCAGAAGTTCCTTCAACAACTGCCCCTCCCCCATTCAGAGGCCCAGCGTTGATAATGACCCTTTTGTAAAAGTGGGACTCTTGTGCCTTACCTTCCTGAGGCTGCTAAGTGTTGGAGTGGGGAGCGTTTTTATTTTCAGCCAGAGCGAGTTCAGCTGGCAGCGGGAGGCGGGTGGGGGAGGAGATGTAGACAGAGGCAGCAGGTTCGGCCCTCAGCCCTCAGGACAGAGTCTGCAGCCAAAACTGGGGCTCCATCCCTGCCTCCTGGGGCTGACCAAGGGAAGGACACTCCTTAGAGAAGGACTCTCTTGGGCCAGGCGCGGTGGCTCACACCTGTAATTCCAGCACTTTGGGAGGCTGAGGCAGGCAGATAATGAGGTCAGGAGTTTGAGACTATCCTGTCCAACATGCTGAAACCCCATCTCTACTAAAAATACAAAAAAGTAGCCAGATGTGGTGGCATGTGCCTGTAATCTCAGCTACTTGGGAGGCTGAGGCAGGGGAATTGCTTGAACTTAGGAGTTGTAGCTTGCGGTGAGCAGAGATCTCACCATTGTACTTCAGCCTGGGCGACGGAGCAAGCCTCAGTCGAAAGAGAGAAAGAGAAGGAAGGAAGGAGGGAAGGAAGTGAGGAAAAGAGGAAGGGAGGGAGGGAGAGAAAAGGAGGGAAGGGAAATAAGGAGGAAGGGAGGGAAGGAAGGAAGGAAGGAAGGAAGAAAGAGAGAGAGAGAAAGAAAGAAAGAGAAGAAAACTCTCCCCTTGCATGGGGGCACTCACTCCTCAGGCAGGGGACTCCCCATTCCTGCCTCTCCCCTGGGCACCTCTGCTCCTTCGCAGCTCGGACTTTGTAACCCCAGGAAGGGCCCTACCTCAAGGGGGCCAAGTCAGAGGCCCAGTGGTCTGTGCCACCTGAGTAAAATGCCTGACCCAATGGTCGCTCCCAGAGCCTGGCTGGTGTCTGTCTCTTCCCCAGCAAACCTGCACCATGGGCCACCTGGAGCTTCCTCTGGGAAGGTCACACTTGCCCATTGCTTCCCCAGGAAGAGTTCCTGGTATCCACCCACCATCCTGGGCTCTGCCATGCAAGGAAGGAGTTCAGGGAGGAAGCAGAGGACAAGAGGGCCGGGAGATGGGGCCAGCAAGTGACCAAGCGTAGTGGGTATGGGAGGCAGCAGCATACCCTCTCATGGAAAAGGCAGTGACATGGCCAGGCTGTTCTTGAAATGGTGGGACCTCCTGCTTATTCTACACTGGCTGTCTCCAAGGAGGCCTCCCAGCCTTCCCAGCCAGGTGCCCTAGCACCCGCTGGTGCCTGCAACCCACTGTGGGCCCCACACTCCAGTCCTGTCTTCGTCTTGGCATGAGCTGCCCTCCCCAAAGACAGGGATCTCCCTGTGGGCAAGGCCAGCCCCCTCTCCTCTGGCATCCCAGAGTGAAAGCAGAGTCCTCTCTTCAAGAGCACCCCCTCTCATGCCCCAGACAGAATGGCCAGGAGAGGCCCCAGCCCTCCAGCTGCTGCTGGGACTGCTGAGGCGCTCCATGGCCAGATGTTTCCAACAAAAACTGCTGCACCAGGGGCGGCCCGCTGGCTGCCCACTCCCGAGCTCAGGGGCCTCCTGCCTTGTCACCTTCTACAGCTGCTGGCTCGGGGCAGGACTCGAGGGCCCTGGGTTGTGTAGGTCCCGGCAGCAGCTGTAGGGCGGGGCCTCAGGAGAGTTCCCAGGCCAGATGGCCGCCTGTGTCTGGAGAGGGCCCGCCTAAGCCACCACCACCACCGAGACGGCAGCTGTGTGCCGGTGTCCTGTCATTCCTGTGCTTGAGACCAGCCAGCCACAGGGACTCTGAGATGGCAGGTTGCCTGGGCTCCCAGCACCAACTCAGGGCTGCCTGGGACAGCCCCCTCCCGGATCAGTGTGGGGCAGGAGGGACTTGAATGCAGACATTTCTGAGACGTACAAGGAGCTTACTGTCCCCTCCCTGTCCTCCACCCCTTTCCTAGCTGAGCCCCACCTTCCAGGTCCTACCCTAGGCTCCTGCAGGCAGCATCCTGACCCTCCCTGTGTGCCACAACCCCCTCAAGTGTCCCAGGCTCTCTCTGTCCCAGCGGCCAGGCAGGGCAGGCTGAGGTGCTTGCTCCCGGCCTGGAGTGGGGAGCGCCAGCCTGTGGCCCAGAGCCCCAGCATGGCAGGCCACCCCACCTGCTCTGAAGGCTCAGGGGCTGCAGGTGTGGGCAGACAGGGCTGGACTGTTGCCACAGAAGATTCAGGATTAGGGATTGTGGGACCATCAGTTACCACTCACAGAAGCAACTGTCATGCATTCACTCAACAAACATTTACCGAACACCCACTTTGCATCCTGCCAACTTTTAAGCACCAAGTGAACAAAACAGCTCATTCCCTTTTGGCAGGAGATGGGACATCCCTCAATATCCCTCAATCACAGAACACCGGAATGCGCTGGAGGGGAGGGGAGGCAGCCCAAGGGGTTTGGAGGGAGCTTAGCTAAGCTGTGCAGGACTGAGGAGTGGGTTCTGAGCAGAGACAGGATTTAAGAGAAGCCATTGAAGGGTTCTTTGGGGAAGAGCATTCCAGAACCTGAGAGCTTGCTGAGTGCCAGGGCCTGTAGTTAATTTTCACAAAGACCCCAGGATGCACTCTGATTCCCATTTTGCAGATGAGGATTATTGAGGTTCAAAGAGGTAAAGGGTTTGGTCCTGCTCAAGGCTGGGAGGGGCCGGGGCAGGGCTCTGATCCAGGCAGGGCCAGAAGGAGCAATGACATCTGGGTTCACCCTTAACTGAATTCAGCTATTCCTGCTGGTGGCTGGGGCAAGTCAGATGAGTATTTAAATGGGTGGAGGAAGGGGGCTTGGCCTTCCTCAGGAAGGGGTCCTCAGGGTGGACGGCCGGAGGTGATAGGGGCCAGGGCTCTGCTGTCCCTAAGCTGGTCTCAGTGGCTGTGAGTGCAGTGTGATTCCAGGGGTCCAAGCTTTGGTTGCCAGGTTTAGGAAATAAAAATGCAGGACATCTGGTGAAACAAGGAATGATATTTTAGTATAACAATGTGGCCTTCCTTCCCGGACTTCAGAACCTACTGTGGGCTCCACTCCTCCTGCACACACATACCTGGCCAGGTCCTGTCCTTTGTCGTCCCGCCCCTCTTCCAGCACCACCCCCCCACTGCACAGCCTTGCTGGGGTGACTCCTCCACCGCCTCCTCCATTGCCTGGGCTGCAAGGCAGTGCAGAAAGAGACTGGCTGAATTCGAATCCTGGTTCAGGGACTTGCTGCCTGATACATGGCCCTGGGTACCTTACCTAACCTCTCTCACCAAAAAGGTATAACAATAAGAGCATCTCGTTAATGGGACCGTTGTGAAGATGATCCGGTGGTCTAGGGTACCTTCAAAACTGCTCAGTCAAGGGTGGCCTAGGTTGTGCCCCTGGGAAAAGGCTCCACCTGCTGGGGAGGGACCCTAACCCCGCCAAACACACTCCTACTTCTCTATTTTGCTCTCCCAGAACCAGATGTCCCCCTCACGTGGTTTTAAGGCTTCTTTGTCCTGGAACACTCCCCCCCACTCCTTCCTACCCCACTCCCATGCCAGCCCCTGGCCCGAGTCTCCTGTTTGAACTCGTTCCTGCCTGCCCTGGGCTCCGGAGGGCTTCCCACTCCCTCCGCTATGGCATTTGCCCCCCATCCCACCATGTCTGCTGGGAGGTGCCCGCTTTCCGTGCCTCTCTGCGCTGGGTGCCCCATGGACGCTGGGCTGGGTCTGTGGAGAGGGTGGAAGTCCCCGTTTCAGGATCCGGATCCTGTTTGAATGTTTGGAAAAGGGTCCCAGATGAATTAAATTCAAAAGTAGGCTTTCAAGGAAGAAGGAGGTGTCATCTTTGCAAAATGAACGACTCCCCATCCACGCACCCTCTAACCCCATCCGAAGGCCGGCGCCCTGCGAGGTGGCGGGAGGCCGGGGTCCCGGGTGTGCCCTGGGTTGACTGCCCAACAAGGGCCGGGATAGAAGCGGACCCTCGACAGTGTTCCCTTTGCAGACTGGCGCAGTAAGGACCCCACGCCGGGAGAGGTTGGGAGGTGGGGGACCCAGGCCAACCAGGCAAGTATCGCGAGAGACCCCCAGCCCCCGCGCAGTGCCCTAACCCCCCCTTTTACCCTAACGCCCCCGCTGGCTGCGCGCGGTGCCCGGCCGGGTGGGGCAGACAGGGGAGCGGGGCGAGGGTGACCTCAGCGGTTCCGCCACTCCGGGAAGTCGCTTGGCCCGCCTCCTCCGGCCCCAGCTCCGAGTTTCGCTCTCTCCGGGGCGGGGCGAGCGGCGGGCGGCACTGGGCCAGCCAAGTTGGAGCGCGCCCCGCCCGGCGCCCTCCCCGTCCCCGCGCCCTGGCGGCCGGGGCGCGCCACCCGCAGCTCCACGCGCGCCGGGGCCGCACTGGGGAGGGCGCGCGGCCGGGCGGCGACCGGAGAGGAGCTCAGGGCGGCGGAGGTGAGCGCGGGGGGCGGGCTCCCGGCTCCGCCCGCCCCGCCCGCCGGCCCGCTCCCCGCAGCCGCGCTGCCATAAATGGGGCCGGCGGCGGCGGCAGCTGGTGGGCCGGGCGGCAGCTGAAGGCGGTGCGGAGGCGCGGAGGCGCAGGGCGGGCGGGCGGCGGAGGCGCAGCCACCGGGGCGTCAGGGACGCCGCGAGCCAGCGGGCGGCCGCCCGGGAGTGAAGTTCAGGATCGCCCGGGCGGGGACGCGCGCAGGTTTGCGCCTCTCGGGTCCCTGCGCCTGAGTCCCGGGACCCGCCCCCGCGTCGGAGCGGCTACTGTTTACTTTCGATCGAGTTTTTCCTGCTCGGGGCAGGTGCCCGCGGCGGCTCCGGACGGGCGGTTGGCGCGTCACTCCCGCGCTGCCTGCCACCGGGAAGGGCGCTTCACGGGCGTCTCCAGGCGCGCTGACAGGCGTCCCGTTTGTGCCCAGGTGATGACGGCGGCGGCATGGAGTTCCCTGAGCACGGCGGACGGCTGCTGGGCCGCCTGAGGCAGCAGCGCGAGCTGGGCTTCCTGTGCGACTGCACCGTGCTGGTGGGCGACGCGCGCTTCCCGGCCCACCGTGCCGTGCTGGCCGCGTGCAGCGTCTACTTCCATCTTTTCTACAGGGACCGGCCCGCGGGTAGTCGCGACACGGTGCGGCTTAACGGCGACATCGTCACGGCGCCCGCCTTCGGCCGCCTACTGGACTTCATGTACGAGGGCCGCCTGGACTTGCGCAGCCTGCCTGTCGAGGACGTCCTGGCGGCCGCCAGCTACCTGCACATGTATGACATCGTCAAGGTCTGCAGGGGCAGGCTCCGGGAGAAAGACCGAAGGCTGGACCCGGGGAACCCTGCCCCTGGGGCAGAGCGTGCTCAGCCACCGTGCACCTGGCCTGTCTGGACCGCTGACCTCTGCCCAGCTGCCCAGAAGGCCAAGCTCCCCCCAGTTGGGGTCAAGGCTGCCCTCCCTCCTCGAGCATCTGGGCCTCCTTCCTGCCAGGTCCCAGAAGAGTCAGACCAGGCCCTGGACCTATCACTGAAGCCTGGCCCAAGGCAGGAGCGGGTCCACCCACCCTGCATCTTCCAGGCACCCCTCTGCGGCCGGATGCAGCCAGGGGTCCAGCCACTGGTGAAGGATGAGCGGGACTCATTGTCGGAACAGGAAAATAGCAGCAGCTCTAGGAGCCCCCATAGCCCCCCGAAGTCACCTCCTGTTCCCGCAGCCAAGGACCTGGTGGTGGGCTTGCGGCCGCTGCCTGTCAGCGGGGATGGCAGCCGGGAGCTGGAGCTGGATCTGGATGCAGGGCGGGTGGCAAGTGAGGACGAGCTGGGGCCTGGCGGGCCCCTCTGCATCTGCCCGCTGTGCAGCAAGCTGTTCCCCAGCTCCCACACGCTGCAGCTGCACCTTAGCGCCCACTTCCGTGAGCGGGACAGCACACGAACCCGGCTCTCCCCGGACGGCACGGCACCCACCTGCCCGCTCTGCGGGAAGACCTTCTCGTGCACATACACGCTGAAGAGGCATGAGCGCACACACTCGGGTGAGAAGCCCTACACGTGTGTGCAGTGTGGCAAAAGTTTTCAGTACTCCCACAACCTCAGCCGGCACGCCGTCGTGCACACTCGCGAGAAGCCGCATGCCTGCCGGTGGTGTGAGCGCCGTTTCACGCAGTCTGGGGACCTGTACCGCCACGTCCGCAAGTTTCACTGTGGCTTCATCAAGTCCCTTCTGGTGTGATGCCTCCCTGCGGATCCTGAGGGTGCGGTGGAAGGGAAGGGATGGGGCCCTCCCAGGTGGGACAACAGCATGGGGTGTGAAGCCTGGCCAGGTGGAAGTCCCAGCTCAGGCTGGATGGCTCAACCCGCCCGGCAGAGAGCATGCTGCCACTTCCTGGAACTTGGCCTTAGACTCGGGTGACTTGGGCAGCCCTCTTCCCACCTTGCCTCTCCTTCCCCCTCACTCCCCAGCTCATTCCAGCCCCCAGGCTTCCTCTCCCGTCCCCTCCAGCCAAGTTCTGAGGGGGTGTCCAACCAGCACCTGGCCCTGCCCTGGTTTCTCCGTGTGAGATGGCACACCCACCTCCCATCCAGAACTTTCCTGACCACCTCTCTGGCAGGCTTCTTGAGCCTGGCCCCTCACTAGGTGAATTATTCACATGTCAGAAAAGTTGCTGTGTGTCCTGATGGGGTGCTGGGAGGAAACAGGACACTCCTGGGGGGAAGCAGCAGGAACCCCTGCCAAGAAGGCCTGGGGCACACTGATTGCCAGCAGGGGCCATCTGGTCACAGCTGGTGTCTTGGGGGGTGGGGTGCAGCCCCAGCAGGGATCCTAAGGCAGCAGGGGTAGCCAGCTAGAAGCTGAGTGGCTTTGGCGTCATTATCTCTCGGGTGGGACGTGAGTCCATGAGAGCATGCAATCATGACTACACTGTAACTTTGGTCAGAGAGTGGGAATTTCGAACTGGATTATCTTTTTTGCTTTTTCTTTCCTTTTTTTTTTTTTTTTTTTTTTTTTTTTTTTTTTTTTTTTTTTTTTTTTTTTTTGATATGGAGTTTTGGTCTTGTTTCCCAGGCTGGAGTGCAATAGCCCAATCTTGGCTCACTGCAACTTCACCTTCCAGGTTCAAGCTATTCTCCTGCCTCAGCCTCCCACGTAGCTGGGGTTACAGGCATGCACCACCATGCCCAGCTAATTTTGTATTTTTAGTAGAGGCAGGGTTTCTCCATGTTGGTCAGGCTGGTCTCAAACTCCTGACTTCAGGTGATCTGCCGGCCTCCGCCTCCCAACGTGCTGGGATTACAGGTGTGAGCCACAGCACCCCGCTGAGAATTGGATTCTCTTGAGACCCAGAAAGAGCCTCCCGAGGTGGCCAGATGTCTGCTGGTGGCTGCCCAGCCACGTGCTTCCCTGCCTGAGTGCAGGTCTAGGAAGTCTCTGGGCATCCCCAGAGTGGGTCCTGGGCCCCCGTGGGCCTTACTTTGAAGGTCACTCTACCTGCTAGAGTGAAGGTCAGACCCTGCTAGGGGTCTCCCTGGAGTTGTGGGCACTGCCATGCACTCACTGAGCAGGGGCCAAAGGCTGCCCTGTTTGCCAGGAGCAGGGTTTGTGGGCCTTTTCCTGGGTGAAGCGTGGGTGAAAGTGGCCACGGCAGCAGGAGTAAGGACAGGTGAGGAGTGGGAGTCACAGCACCCCAGCCTCCATCCGCAGCCTTGGGAGGCTAACGCTCCTCAATCATGAGTAGAATGTGAAGACCACGCCCCTTGTACATGTCACTGGTTCAGGTCATGCCCTGCTTTGCCCACCTAATCACCAAGCACATCTTGCTGCCAGAACCTCACTGGCCTCTGGGGTCAGCAGGTGCAGAGTCACATGGATGCCTGGAGACCACCTGGGCTGTTTCCTGTGACCAGCAATGGCCTTGATGACAGAGTCCAGCCAAGTCTACGTTTCTTCTCTTCTCCTGACAACACTGGATGTCATATTTATTAGCCTGGTCTGGAGTGAAAGACCGTCCCTAGTGCATCTTCCACTCGCCCTGGGCTCCTGGTATGCTGGGTACCAGCCTGGGAGCCCAGCGCCTCTGGGTGATGCCCCAGGGCTCAGACGCCCTGGATGGCTTTGGTCTTGAGACAGCTGGGGGTGGGGCCCTGCTTCTGATTGTCCTGGTCCCCAGCCCCCACCTCTGCAAGAGTTCAGTGTGATGTGCTCCATAATTGCGTGTGTGTGTCTAGCACATGGCAAGGCCCAAGCCAAGCCGGTGCCCCGAAGATGGGCAGCCACACTGCTGCCCAAGCACGGAGGTGTGGCCGAGGCACTGGTCCCCCAGTGGTTTCCATGGGGGAAGGACTTCCCTTTGCTGGGTGGGCAGCCTGCCCTGAGCTCTCTATCAACACTGGGTTTGTTGTCTTCTGCACAGCTACTGTGAAGAGAATGTAAGAAGTGGTCGGTTTTATTATAACTGACATAGTTGGGACGAAATATATACAGGTACATATATTTAAGACACTAATTATGTGGGAGAGTGTAGTAGAGGCCTGTGTAGATGCAAGGCAAGCAGAGTCAGCAGTGGGGGGGTCTCCTGGGCCAGCCCAGCACCTGTGGGTGCTCTGGCCCTGCGGGTGGGGACAGCTCTAGGCTAACCCCAGAAGACAGTTGTTGGTGCACAGCGCCTAGGAGGTGTGGGAATGGGTGCTGTCTTCCTTTTCAGGTCATGGTGACAGTAATAAAGCCCACCTCCAGTGGAAACGGCAATGACTATTCCTGGGGACGGGTGGGGACTCCCAGATGCCACCACATGCTCATGCTGCTGGGTGGGGGAGACTGGGACAGGGCTGAGGGCAGGTGGCACCCCCTCTTTCCCCAGGTTTGTCCCTGACTGCCAGCATTTGGGGGAGGGGGTCCAGGGAGGCAGATCTGTCAGGGAGGCACAGGACATGGGCTAGCTTGGCAGGGGAAGCCACAGTGACTTCTTGCCCTGGGGAAGGAGGCTGGCCCCTGGAGGAAAGCTGTGAGCCTGGGGATGCCGTGGCCCTCCCCACCACCCTACGCCCTTGGCCTCTTGCGGGTGGGAGAAGGTACAGCAATTTCTAGAGCCTTGTGGCAGGCTGGGCTGGACTCTGGGGTGGGCAGTGCCACTCCTCCTCTGCCCTGCTCCCTCCAGAGGCCCTGCAGGGGGTCATCAGCCCTGAGCCTTCCCCTGGAGGGAGCACAGCCGTCTTTTCCAGGCCAGCTGGGGCAGGGCCTCCGCATGTGCTATAAGCTTCAACAAAGTGCCCCCTTGGCTTGAGAAGAGCCAGGGTAACCCCCAGGCCCAGGACAGGGTTGGGACAGTGCTAGCCAAAGGGTCCCCAAGGTCAGGCTGCACTGGTGTGCAAGGGGCTCCACTACTGGGCCAGCTCCTGCCACCTTCCCAGTCCTGACCCCAAATGCGGGTCCTTCCTTCTGGGAGGTGGTGCTGGCTCCTCCCCTACCCCTCCTGTGTCCACCCTGCCTCCTGCTGAGCCTGGCCCAGGGCCCTGTTCTGCAGGGAGGCCTTGTCATGTTCCCAGTTGGACCCATGACTCAGCCCAGGCCTTCTCAGCCCAGAGAAGGAGGCTGTTTCTATGCCAACCAGGCAGGAAAGGAGGATGGTCTGCTGTCCCCTAGGGGGTGTGGGGCTTCCTGGGGCCCTTCCAGCCTGCCCAGCTCTGCCACATTGTGCTTACAACTCAGCTGACTGCTGGAGCTGTTGCCAAGGCTTTCAGTTCCACTCCTGACCAGAGTGGGACTCCTGGCACCCTCCTTGAAGGCCATCCAGCCAGCTTCCTTGGCTGGATGGTAAACTGAGGTACATTGAAGGGACCAGTACTGCCCACGGTCCCAGGGCCAGTTGGTGGCAAATCCAGGACTTCTTCCACAAACTCCAGGTACCTCAAGCTATCTGCCCACAGTGTTGGGCACAGGATCTCAACGCTGTCAGAGGCACAGTGGCAAGTTGGGGCAGCAAGGACGAGGCCAGAGGGAAGGAGAGGGTTAGACTCTGTGGAGAAGGAATCCCAGCAGGCTCCCCAGGAAGGGTGAACTCTCAGGAGCCTGCGAGTGGACAACATGAACACAGGCACCAGGCAGGGGCCAGCCCCCCAGAGAGGCCCGATCACGTCAGGCCAGGTGCGTGGACACCACCCTGGGGAAGCTGCCTTGCAAGTGGGAAGCAGGAGAGTCGGCAGCTTTGGCCCCTCCCTCCTGCCACCTCCCCAGCTCCTGCTCACTCCCCAACACACCTGGTCTTACCTCTTCCCAGCGTTCCTAAATGGCACTGAGTCCTTGCCAGTGTGGGAGCTCCACTCCACAGACATCCCTGGGGACCCTGACGACAAAGCTGGTGCAGGTATGACTCCAACCCCTGCCGTCCCAGCTCTCAGGCATGGATTCCAAGCCCCCAAGGCCTCTCTGCCCTAGTCTTCTGACTTCTCTCCTCCCCGCCTCAGTCAGTCCAATCTTCACTGAATACATCCCACACTGTCATCATGGTCATCATCATCACCATCACCCCGCCCCATGGAACCACAACTGTCACCTCCACCATCAGTATCACCTCCACTATCACATCACCTCCACCTCCAGCATCATTTCCACTACATCCATCACCTCCACCTCTACCATCACCCTCACATCTACCATCACCTCCACCACCTCCTCCATCACCATCACTACCTCCTCCACCTCCGTCACCTCCACCTCCAGCACCATTACCTCCACCATCACCTCCACCTCTGCCATCATCTCCAATTCTGTCACCTCCATCATCACCTCCGACTCTACCATCACCTCCACCTCTGCCATCATCTCCACCTCCTCCACTACCTCCTCCATCACTATCACCTCCACCTCCACTACCATCATCACTAACTCCACCTCCACCATTGCCCCCACTTCCACCATTGCCCCCACTTCCACCACCATCACCTTCACCTCTATCATCACCTCCACATCTATCATCACCTCCACTTCCACTACCACCATCACTATCTCCTCCACCTCCACCATTGCCTCCACTTCCACCACCATCACCTCTACCTCTACCATCACCTCCACTTCCTCCATCACCTCCACATCCATTACCTCCACCACCACCATCACCTCCACCTCCACCATTGCCTCCACCTACACCATCACCTCTACCTCCACCACCTCCTCCACCAAAACCTTAACCTCCATCACCTCCACCTCCACCAGCGCCTCCACCTCCAGCACCACTGCTTCCACTTTCACCATTACTTCCACCTCTACAATCACCTTCACATCTACCATCACCTCCACCTTCTCCACCACCATCACCTCCACATCCACCCCCTCTTCCACCACCAGCACCTCCACCTCCATTACTTCCACCTTCAACCACCATCACCTCCACCACCATCACCTCCACATCCACCACGTCTTCCACCACCAGCACCTTCACCTCCGTTACATCCACCACCATCATCACCTCCACCTTCACCATCACCACCACCATCACTTCCACCTCCACCATCACCTCCACTCCACTATTACCTCCACCATCACCTCCACCTCCACCATCATCACCTCCACTTTCACCATCGCCTCCACTCCACTATTACCTCCACCATCACCTCCACCTCCACCATCATCACCTCCACGTCCACCATTGCCTCCACCTCCAACACCATTGCCTCCACCTCCAACACCATTGCCTCCACTTCCACCACTATTACCTCCACCATCACCTCCACCTCTACCATCACCTTCACATCCACCATCATCTCTACCTCCTCCACTACCTCCTCCATCACTATCACCTCCACCTCCACTACCATCATCACTATCTCCACCTCCACCACTGCCTCCACTTCCACCATTGCCCCCACTTCCACCACCATCACCTTCACCTCTATCATCACCTCCACATCTATCATCACCTCCACTTCCACTACCACCATCACTATCTCCTCCACCTCCACCATTGCCTCCACTTCCACCATTGCCCCCACTTCCACCACCATCACCTTCACCTCTATCATCACCTCCAC